TCCAAGGGAGTGGGGGCCCCACGGGCCACGGCAAGCGCACGGGGCGGGGTAGGGGCACGTCGGGCTCGGTCGGGCGTGTCCCCCTGCAGGCGGAGTGTGGACGAGAAGTACGGAATACCCAAAAATATGCCAGAAATATTCAAAAATCATCAAAGATCGTCCCCAGACTATTCTTGACTATTTTGGAACATCCCCCCTGTAGAGGGACGGACCCGAAGGAAACGTCGGGGCGGGGGTGCGCCGCGATTGCCACGGTGCTTTTGACTATTTTTGTATAGTGTTCCCCCCTGTAGAGGGACAGGCCCGACTTAAACGTCGGGGCGGGGGTGCGCCGCGATCGCCACAGTGCGCACGCGAGCACCAGCAGGTCGGGAGAGGTCCAGGCCTCCCCTCCCCCCTTCACATATAGTGGGGGCCCGACCACAAGAAACCTTCCACAGGAAACCCAACCCTGGAACCCCAGTGCGTCCATTGATTTTTGGCGTGGGAGCGTCACGCTTTCCACTGCAAAACCCTCGAAACCCAAGAAACCCAGGGGACCCAGGAGGCAGCAAGGTGTTTCTTGGCATGGGTCTCCACTGTACGACCGTTACACATCGGTCGGAAGCAGCAGGTAAAAGCATGAAGCAGGAAGGCGGACAGAGTAGATTGGGTGCAGGCCCTCCCAGAGAAGAACGAGCACAGCAGAAGCAGATCGACAACTGAAGCAGGACGGCGCTTGAAGCAGATTGGGATTTGGGAATCCAAACATACCTACTTTAAACGACCGGCGCGTTCTGTTCCCCCAGCGGGGGGGGGGGGGACGACCGTTCCGGTCGGACCTGGGACATAACAACATCCCTCAGAAACACGAGGCCCTCGGCCGGCCAAAGACCTCCTAAGCCATCAGGGATCACTAGGATGGGGTGCCCTCCCCCCAGAGTGCACAAGCACGCCCAACCAGCACGAAAAACATTAGGGCACCCTCACCGAACCGACTTCGATTTTATGCCTCGGCCCGACCTCCTCCTCCTCCTCCTCCTCCTCCTCCTCCGCCCTCCTCCGCCCTCCTCCCTCCTCCCTCCTCCTCCTTCTCCTCCTCCTCCTCCTCCTCCTCCTCCTCCTCCTCCTCCTCCTCCTCCTCCTCCTCCTCCCCCCTCTCCTACGACGCACGACGGGCGGCTGCGGGGGGACGACGTCAGGTCGGACAAAGGGAGGAGAGGAGGAGGAGGAGGAGGAGGAGGAGGAGGAGGGGGGGAGGAGGGGAGGGGGAGAGGAGGGGGAGGAGGAGGAGGAGGAGGAGGAGGAGGAGGAGGAGGAGGAGGAGGGAGAGAGGAGGAGGGCGGAGGAGGAGGAGGAGGAGGCGGAGGAGGAGGGGGGAGGAGAAGGAGGAGGAGGAGGAGGAGGAGGAGGGGGAGGAGAAGGATGAGGAGGAGGAGGAGGGTAGCGAATCGGCTCTCGCAACTACGTTTCCCAGCGCCGGACCGGAGAGGGGCACCTCCGCGGCCCAGGCTGGGGCGCGATTCTCTTCGCGCCCCTGTGGGTGACTCAGCGGCTCTCTGGTTGTGGATGCCACGACAATGGACACCCTAACAGTCGTATCATGGAATACAGCATGTGTTTAAAATGTCGGAAAATGTTATGATAATGTTTAAAACATGTTGTTTATACATGTTTTGCTTAACAGTTTTAACACATGTTCTAGACATCTGGAAATTATTTGGCAACATGCTTCCTCTCCGTTGATCGTCCTCCACAATGCTCTGGGTCACCCCTCCTCCTGAGGACGAGGGCGATGTCGTGATGCGATCGTCTTGACGCACGTCCCAGACGATCCCCGGAGTATCGGGCGGCCTCATATCGATTGGAAAAGGTTTGGATACTGGAAGTGTTGCAGCGTTTCTGCAGTAAGGAACTGCATACCAATAGGATCACCCCTCGGGCAATGAGGAGGTTGAAGGGGGGGTGCAGCTGTCTAGCGATCTTATTATCTGTCTATCGGCATCGCTGACACGATCGGTCTCGCGATCGATCAATCTCACAAACTATCGAAATCACTATTCATCTCAGTATCGGTCCGACAATGTGTCGGTCTCACTATATGTAGGTCGAACACGTCCTCCTACAGGCGGATTTTGGACGAACAACTAAACATAGTCGAACCATATTCCAAACATACACAACAATTATGGAACAATCGTCCCCGAACTAGTGTTTGACTATCTTTGAATGTTCCTTCTATAGAGGGACACGCCCGACTTAACACTATATCGCAATCGATCGCCCCTATCAACGGATCTAACGATACCATTATCATGAAGTGGTATCCGATCTACTTATCTCGGAGGCGTAGGAGGAGCAGGAGTAAGAGGAGGAGGAGGAGGAGGAGGAGGAGGAGGAGGAGGAGGAGGAGGAGGAGGGAGAAGGAGGAGGAGGAGGAGCAGGAGCAGGAGGAGGAGGAGGAAGGATGGAGAGGAGAAGGAGAAGGAGGAGGAGGAGGAGGAGGAGGAGGAGGAGGAAAGGAGGAGGAGGAGGAGAGGAGGAGGAAGGGAGGAGGAGGAGGCGAAGGCGGAGGGGGAGGAGGAGGACGGGAGGAGGAGGAGGAGGAGGAGGAGGAGGAGGAGGAGGAGGAGAGGAGGAGGAGGGGGAGCGGAGAGGAGAGGAGGGGAAGGAGGAGCAGGTCAGGAGAAGGAGGGGAGGAGGAGGAGGAGGAGGGGGAGGAGAAGGAGGAGAAGGAGGAGCCGGAGAAGAGGAGGAGGAGGAGGAGGAGTGAGGAGGAGGAGGGGGAGGAGGAGGGAGAGGGGGGAGGGGAGGATGACAGGGAGGGGGGGGGAGGGGGAGGAGTGGGGAGGGGAGGAGGAGGAGGAGGAGGAGGAGGAGGAGGAGGAGGAGGAGGAGGGGAGGAGGAGGAGGAGAGGAGGAGGAGGAGGGGGGGAGAAGGAGGAGGGAGGAGGGGGAGGAGGGGCGAGAGGGAGGGGGAGGAGGAGGAGGAGGAGGAGGAGGAGGAGAGAGGAGGAGGAGGAGGAGGAGGAAGAGGAGGAGGGCGGAGGAGGAGGAGGAGGAGGCGGAGGAGGAGGGGGAGGAGGAGGAGGAGGAGGCGCGGACTGGGTTTGCGCCGCCGCAGAGCCCAAGGCCAAGGCGCAGCGGGCCCTCGCAGCGCCAGAGCAGCACGCGCGCCGGCAGCGGCTCCTGGGCGCCCTGCCGCCTACACAGGCAGCGCTGCTCCGCTCGGCCAGCGGGAAGGGCGCGGGAAGCTGGCTCCTGCCGCCGACAGAGGAGGACCACGTGCTGGCGGACGCGCACTTCCTCCCTGCCCTGGCGCTGCGCCTGCAGCTGCCCCTGCCTGCGGCTGCCAGCCCCGCCTGCCTCCGGCGCCGGGAGGACGGCTCGCGCTGCGGGGCTGACCTGGCCGCGACACCAGGGCACTGCCTGGGCTGCCACGTCGGCGGCGGCACGACCAAGCGCCACGACGGGGTCACGGACTGGCTCGCCGGCTGGCTGCGCGCCCGAGGCGCGACAGGCGTGAGCACGGAGCAATTTGTGCCCGCCTGGGACAGGGCGCGCCCAGATGGCACAGTCGAGGCAGCCCGCCTCGATGTAGCTTCACTGACCCCACGGCCGGCGCGACTTACGTCGACGTGGTGGTCACGGACGCCGCTCTTGGCGCAGACACGCCAGCGGGCAGGAGCCGCGCTGTCCGGGACGGCGCGGCCGCGGCTGCTGCGGAGGAGCGCAAACACCGGCGCTACCCTGGCCAAGCGCTGACTGCCTTCGCGCTCGAGGCCTTGGGCCGCGCGGGGCCCGAGGCGCAGGCGCTCCTGCGCACCTGGGCGCGCGGCGACGCCACGGCGCTGGCGACGGCGCGCCAGAGCCTAGCGGCGACGCTGCAGCGCGGCAACGCGGAAGCTTACCGCTCCGCTTGCCTCGACGCGCGCGGCCGAGCGCGCCGCGGCGCCAGCGGCGCCGAACCGGCGGCCCGCCGCGCGCGCGCGAGCTGAGCTGGCTGAGGGGCGCGCGAACTGACTGGCGAGGGGCGGCGGAGCTGGGCGCTGGAAGGGCGAGGAAGGGGCGCTGGAAGGGGCGCGGCGGCGGAGGCAGGGCGCTGGGCGGCGACAGGGGCGCGGCGGCGAGCGGGCGCGGGCGGGGGGCAGCAAGGGAGAGGCGCCGCGGGAGCTGCAGGCCGGCGCTGCCGGAGCGCGCGCGCGCGCCGAGCGCTGGGCGGCAGGCCGCAGCGCGCGACTTCCGCGCGGCTCGGCGCAGGGGCGCCTGCGGGGCAACTGGCGGGCGAGCTGGCGCAGCAGCGCCGCGAAGAGAGAGGGGCCCGGTCGGGCGGCTTGCTTTTTTCCTCCTCCTCCTCCTCCTCCTCCTCCTCCTCCTCCTCCTCCTCCCCCCCCCTGCCCGAACGCGCGTAGGCGACGGCCGTGCGGCGTAGCGGCCGGGACCGGCCCGAACCCCATTGCCTGGGGGTCCCCCTGTGCGATGGGGGTGGGGACCCACTCGGGTGCCCCCAGGCCGAGGCGCAGGAGGAGGAGGAGGAGGAGGAGGAGGAGGAGGAGGAGGAAGAGGAGGAGGAGGAGGAGGGGGAGAAGGAGGAGGAGGGTAGCGAATCGGCTCTCGCAGCTACGTTTCCCGGCGCCGGACTGGAGAGGGGCACGCCGAGGCGCGATCCTCTTCGCGCCCCTGTGGGTGACTCAGCGGCTCTCTGGTTGTGGATGCCACGACAATGGACACCCTAACAGTCGTATCATGGAATACAGCATGTGTTTAAAATGTGGGAAATATGTCCAGATAATGTTTAACACATGTGTTATACATGTTTTAAACAGGTTTTACACATTTCTAGACATCTGGAAATTATTTGGCAACATGCTTCCTCTCCGTTGATCGTCCTCCACAAGGCTCTGGGTCACCTCTCCTCCTGAGGACGAGGGCGATGTCGTGATGCGATCGTCTTGACGCACATCCCAGACGATCCCATCGGGCGGCCTCATATCGATTGGAAAAGGTTTGGATACTTTTTTGTTTTGTTTTGTTTTTTCTGTTGCATCCGAAAGCAAAGGAATAGTCCTACATCGCACTGCGTAATTGACTTTGGAAGTGATGTTATTCATCCTCCCTGGTCCGCAAGCCTGTCGCTCGTCACCCGAGTGGCTCGGATTGACAACGGGAACCAAAGCATGCTCGTGCCTCTGCCTGTTCCTCGAACGCTCGGGGAACAGCTCAGCTCGGCGAGCGCTGCATCAACGAGGGCAGCGCTGCATCATGCGAGTCGGAGGCACTCGCTCGATCGGAGGCAGATCCTCTTGACAGAATCGGGCCTGGCCAGCCCCAGCACCGCAGCCTGCGCCGTCAGAGATCGCCTAGCTAAACGACATGCTCAAAGGAAAAGTAGCCTGGCGGCGGGCACAAGGGGGCAGGGGGAGGGGGAAAGGCTTCTTAGAAGGAGGCCGCTTCTTAGAAGGCGATGGCCCTACACATAGACAGGACCCGTGCCTTCCAAGTAGTAGGGGTGCTTCTAAGAAGCATTCCCCCCTCCCGCTACCTCCCTCTGCGAGTGACCGAGAAAGGGAAAACTCGGTGCACTCGGGAAAAAGCCGAGGCGGGAGGAGAAAGAGCGATGAGCAGTGAGGAGTGCGCGACAATTCAAAATAAATTACCGTGCTCACGCCGAAACTGGCCATGAACTCTGCGCAACCTGGCTTATCGAGGCAGCAGATCAATCTGAAAAGCATGGGGACAGAGGAGGAAGAAGAGGATGACCAGGATAAACATGATTCAGTGGTCCTACCTCTACCGCACTGTGTAGAAGGGACCTGCAATGGCCCAGGGGCCCTCACCCCAAAAGCCTTCAAGTGGTCGGGTGCCGGCCCTTCCGCAGACGATCCAATCTGCCCCGTGCAGTGGCTCGGAGGCCATTGCCCTCGCCCCTGCACAGACCCTGCCAACAGTGCTGAGCGAAGCAAGCATACACCCTGCGAAATGCTTAAGAAATCATGGGTTAAGAAATTCATAGTCTCAGAAATTGAATGTAACCCAGAACTTCTATCAAAATCTTGGGATTTACATTGAAAAATTAAGAATAATCGAGACTCTGGACGAAAACTTAGGTTTTCTTAAGCATCGCATAAGGTGTACGCTCCACGCAAAGCGCAGCCTGGTCGGCTCACGAGATGGTGCCGGTTTCTCTCGGGCCCTCAGGTGGCCCCCCCGATCTGGCCGAGGGGCGCCCAGCCTCCTCAGAGGCGGTCTGGATGAGGGTGGGGATGGGGACAGGGGCCAGTTGAACGACACCGACGTCCGCTTCCCCGACACCCCCGCGACGCTCCACGACCCTGGCACTCATCCCATCAGTGCTCCGAAGCCTGCAGCGGCCGGTCCTTCGCCGTGTCTACGCTGCCTCTGGTGACAGGGCGAGGAAGAAGAGGAGCGAGCGCAGCACTTTTTGGAGCACTTGCGCAGCACAGCGCGCAGGGAAGAGAGAACGGAGGGAGGAGGAAGAGGAGGAGGATGAGGAGCAGGATGGAGCATCAATCAGCCGAACCGCTGGCTGACGCATGAGCTGTAGCCACCGCTGCCTCGTGCGCCCTGGGAGGCCAGGAGGAGCGAGAGCATGAGCGCTCCTCCTCCTCCTCCTCCTCCAAACATTGCGTTCTGGTACGATGCCGGATCGTCAAGACGCAACAGTCATGTTGATCCGTGGCGTTGAAATTCCGAGCACGATGTCTTGGCATGCTTCAAAATATTCCAACGAGGCAATTCCCTCAATGGAAATGAACCGGTGTGCTGGGCCTGGTCCAAGTCTGGCGAATCTTATCTGCATCGGACCTGGATTTTTCTACTGGCGGTGACTCATCTGGCGAGAAGTCTGAAACCTCCTCGCTGTCTCGGAAATTTCTCGGGGACTGCTGCTGCTGATGCATGCGGCGCTGCTCCGGGGTTACCTCTGCGTCCAGCCGCGTCATCTTGCGGCACAATCTGTCACGGTCAAGGACGCTGCCAGCCCGTGAAGACCTGCGACTCCAAGTCCGCCTTTTCTGTCGGATTGTCGATTCGAGGTCGTCTATCTTCTGCTTCATGAACTCCTGAAGTCCTATGATCTCAGAGACGCTGACAGGTTTTCCATTACGGCAGCGCACGATGACAGAGAATAACTCGCGATATGAAATCGAGGAGTGTTCAAAAGGAAACAAGAGCTCGGCCAACATGAAGAGACCGTCGACGTCGGTCCCACACGCTTTCAGAATTTCTAGCACGTCGGAGTTCTTCATCATCAGTTGGAACTTCTCATTGTTAATGGATTGACAATTGTCGTCCATGTAAACTTCGACGATCCCCTCAAGATGGCGCTCGAGATATTCAATCTCTCCTATGTCCTTATCGTTCATTGCTGTGTCGATGGCGACGCTGCAGAAGGTACCAACCAGCATGTTCAACAGGCCGAAGTAGGTCAAGAATACGAAGATGGTGAATACCAGTCCTTCGAAGATCGCGTTATGCAAGATCGCGTTATGCAAGCGCAAGTCGTTGAAGAATTCGCTAAGACCATCCATGGCAATGCCGTGGGAGATCAGCGATGTGATTGAATGTTCAAGACTTCCGAAATACCTCTCCCCCACACCACTGGGATCACTGCCAGCGGTAAGCACCACACCACAAGTATAAAGGAGGACGGCGATTATGATCCAGGTGTCAGCGGCCGAGCGCATGCCGCTCGCCAACCCCCTCAGAACAGTAACCACGACCGTTCTTGCGCGGGCCATCTTGAGTAACCACAGTAGCCTCATCAATCGCAGCGCCTTGCTGGCGGACGAGGGGCCCGCGGCGCCCGCCAGGTAGGGTGCCACCGTAACCTCCAGCAGTATTGCAACGGTGCACATTGCGTCCAGGCAGAACCAGGGGCTGAGCATGCCATTCGCCTTGTGCTTCATGCTCATGATCTGAAGCGTGATCTCGACAACACAGTACAACGCGAAACCATACTCGATTATAATTGATTCGATTTGCCGATCCCACAAGCTCTGGTTGTACTCGCCAAGCACCGTGCTGATCCCGATCCACACCACGTTCAGCAACGTGAAAAACATCGAGACCGTCAAAAAGGCTGGGCTCTCAGTGATCCTGGTGCAGACGTTGTCGGCTTTCTCAGAATACGTGCATTGAGAGGAAACGGTGGTGGCTATCCCCGTGGGGCGCGTGGAGCGCATGCCGCTTTCAACCTCGCCTTCCTCTATTCCGAGTAGAGCATGCTGGCGCCTCTTGTACCTCTCGTAGGACTCCCAGCTTGGCCCGCCTGTATACATCGCTCTCGCCATGGCTTGGATATGACGCCCCCACTCGACGTACCAAATCTTGGCACCAACCCGACGAACTTGCCGCATGTTACGTGACTTTGGGTCCAGTTGGAACATATCGACGAAAAACATCTCCATCACTGTCTGACCATCCTGGCCGCTCTTGAATCGCACCTTAGACAGGCCACGCCTGTAGGCCTCCTCAATCTGGTCATTCTGAGTCGGATTGTAGTTGCGAAAGCCACCCTTGGTGCGCCGCCACTGCCACATGTACTGTCCATGGTCGAGCTGACCCACAGAATCGTCCTCAGAGTCTGCCTTGTCTACGGCCATCGTCGAAAACTTCGCCTTGGCAATTTTGGGGAGGGAGTCCTGGTCTTCGATGTTCTCCTCGCCCTCGTCTGAGCTTGACCCTTCGGTGCTGAAGGATACCTCGCGCGGGGAGCGCCTTGGTGATGGATACGCATCGGTGTGCCTTGGTGATGGAGACGCATCGATGCCCTCAGGACATCCACGGATGCCACTTGCTTCTGAACGCACGATACTGCTATCATCTAAGACCAGCGGATTGTCCTCATGATGCTTGCGCTCGGGCGAGCCCCGCGCTGCCACATAGACCTGCTGCCTCGAGATCACTTCTTCGAGGTAATCTACCTCGCGCTGGTGGGCTGCGAGCAACTTCATGAGCGTACGGCGGAATGCATCAGGTTCGGGGCGATCTGGCAGCCCGGAGAATAGCTCTTCTGGCTGTGTCATCCTTGGACTGCAGAGTGGACTTGGCTGTGTCATCCTTGGACTGGCTGTGTCATCTCTTGAGGTCCTTGGACTGCTGGGTGACGGTGATGCAATCATTGGATTACAGCAGAGTGGCGGTGATTGATTGACGTGGCAGAGGTTTGGCATTGGAGCAATGCTGTTCTGGCCCAGCAAATGCAAAAACTTTGCTGGCATCGGGCAAACCGCGACTGGGCGAATCCAGCGATGACCTTGGGTTAAGGCCTTGAGCCAAAATGGCTACGGATTGGAAAAGGTTTGGATACTGGAAGTGTTGCAGCGTTTCTGCAGTAAGGAACTGCATACCAATAGGATCACCCCTCGGGCGATGAGGAGGTTGAAGGGGGGGGGGTGCAGCTGTCTAGCGATCTTATCATCTGTCTATCGGCATCGCTGACACGATCGGTCTCGCGATCGATCAATCTCACAAACTATCGATATTTTATGCATCTCAGTATCGGTCCGACAATGTGTCGGTCTCACTATATTTAGGTCGGGCACGTCCTCCTACAGGCGGATTTTGGACGAACAACTAAACATAGTCAAACCATATTCCAAACATACACAACAATTATGACATAATCCGCCGACCCCTTGTGGGTCTCTAGGCGTGTGAGATAGTTCCCCCCCCCTAACCCCCCCCTGGGACCCAAAACCGGAGATTTGACCCCCCCCCCCCGGGCCCACCACGAGCGCGTCACGGGGCTCTTTTGGGCCCAAAAGGGGATCAAGACGGGCCAAGAAGGCCCCAAGACTCCTCCAAGACGGCTCACGAGGGCTCCGAGGCGCCAAACGAGCGCTCCCAGACGCCCAAGATGCCCCCAAGACGAGCCTAGAGGCCTCCAAGACGGCCCAAGAGGCCTCCAAGAGCAGTCCTCAGAAGGGCCGAAGCGCCGAAAATCGTCAAATTCCTATGGGAAAACGTACATTTTGATCATATACTACTTGTCGGCCTTCACGGCGTTGACGACGGTCCCAGAGCACCCCAAGACCGCCCCGAGAGGCCCCCAAGAGGCGCCCAAGTCGGCCCAAGAGGGCGCCAAGACGGCCCAAGAGGCCCCCAAGACAGCCCAAGAGGGCCCCAAGACGGCCCCAAGAGGTGCCCAAGAGGGGGAGCCCGAACCGACAATCCGAGCCTTCAGAGGCCCCAAGAGGCCCCGAAGACGCCCACAAGAGGCCCCAAGAGGCCCCCAAGAGGCTCCAAAACGGCCTCACAACGGCCCCCAAGAGGCTTCGAAACTGCCTCCAAGAGTCCCGCGAGAAGCCCCCCAAGAGATCCCAACGATCACCGCGCAAGTCTCATATCAACAACCCAGGCACGGTGGCGGGGTTGCGTTTGCGCACACAAAAGGATTCGCGCTCTCGAGGCCAACATTGCTCCACAACGGCCCAGGATGGCTCCAAAACGGCCCAAGATGGCTCCAAGACGGCCCAAGACAGTTCGAAGACGGCCCAAGATGGCCTCAAGATGGCCTACAAGGCTTTCACTATCGCCCACGAAGTCTCCAAGAAGACCCCCAAGACATCTGAAAAAGGCGCACATGACGCATTTCATTACATTTCCATTGCGTTGTTGAACATGTTTGCATTTGTTGCGTTTCCCGGCTTCCGTCGGCTCACGTAGCCCCAAGAGCCTCCAAGATCGCCCCACGGCGCCCTAAGACGGCCTCAAGACGGCCCCAGAGAATCCTAACACGGCCCTGGACGCCTCCCAATTCGGCCTCAGACGATCCCAAGACGGCAAAACCTGCCTCCAAATTGGTCCCAAGCTGGTGCAAGACGCCTCTAACCCAAAACCAATAACCCAGAGCCTTGTTTCTGTGTCCCCGTCCTCCTTCTCCTCCTCCTCCTCCTCCTCCTCCTCCTCCTCCACCTCGGCCGCCAGGTGGGTTCAAATCTGTTTTCCAGAGGTCCCCGAGATTCGTGCCGCGAGATCCCTATACACATACAAAAGCCTCTAACACATAGCACATATCCCAGAGTTTCGTCTCTGTGTCCCCGTCCTCCTCCCCCTCTCCTCCTCCTCTTCCACCTCCTCCTCGCCCACTCTTCCTCTTCCTCCCCCGCCTCATCCTTTTCCTCCCCGATTCTTCTCCCCCCATCCTCCGCCTCACCCCCCATCCCTCTCTCCCCCTCCCCCCTGCCCCCCCCCCGCACGCGCGCCCCCGATTGGGCATCCATTGCGTTGTTGAACATGCGTTTCCCGGCTTCCGTCGGCTCACGCAGCCCCAAGAGCCTCCAAAATCGCCCCACGGCGCCCCAAGACGGCCCCAGAGAATCCTAACACGGCCCTGGACGCCTCCCAAGTCGGCCGCAGACGACCCCAAGACGGCAAAACCTGCCTCCAAATTGGTCCCAAGCTGGTGCAAGACGCCTCTAACCCAAATCCAATAACCCAGAGCCCTGTTTCTGTGTTTCCTTCCTCCTTCTCCTCCTCCTCCTCCTCCTCCACCTCGGCCGCCAGGTGGGTTCAAAACTGCTTTCCTGAGGTCCCCGAGAAGCGTGCCGCGAGATCCCTATACACATACAAAAAGCCTCTAACACATAGCACATATCCCAGAGTTTCGTCTCTGTGTCCCCGTCCTCCTCCCCCTCTCCTCCTCCTCTTCCACCTCCTCCTCGCCCACTCCTCCTCTTCCTCCCCCGCCGCATCCTCTTCCTCCCCGATTCTTTTCCCCCCATCCTCCGCCTCACCCCCCATCCCTCTTTCCCCCTCCCCCCTGCCCCCCCCCGCACGCGCGCCCCCGATTGGGCGTCATTTGCAGGTCTTGCATATCAGGGTGCCCTTTTTTGCATCGCGTGCGACGTTGGAGGGGTCCCCGGAAAACGCCGACTTCGGTAGTCTTCTCTTGCGCGCGCCGCCGCACTGATACGCCTGGCAACTGCGGGCTGTGAACCCGAGGTTCTTGCAGCCTCCGCACACCACTTTCGCTCCTTTCGCCGCTCGATGATGTTCCACTTGCTTATGCTTCAAATGTTTCGTGTCCGAGAACGCTCCTCCGCACGCCGCGCACGTCAGTGGCTTCGCGTCTGCCTCGGCTTTCCGCTTGCGATTCGCTGCCTCCGCATTCCCCCGTCGCACCTCTTTCTCTCGTTCTTCCGCGCATTTCTGACAGAGCCTTTCCCCCGCAACATCGTGCTTCTTCTGAGCTTCCGACATATCAGCCTTTTCGTCATATAGCGACAGGCACTTACCGTTCGTACATCGCACTGTTCCGACGCTCTGATTCCACTTCGCGCTGTCTTTCCGCGACTTCTGCTTGACTTTGATACCGCTGCACTTCGCGCAGTACATTGTCCTAATCCTTTTCGTTTCCCCGTCGTCGGCAGCCGCGTCCGCGTTCCGACCGCTGCCATGGCGTGCCGCGTCGTCACTCTCTCCTCTCGTTGCCCACCCTCTGCGCGTCTTGCACCATTTCTCGCCCGCGCTTTTCATCTCCTCCGTGCACTCTTTGCAGAACGCCGGCCTTTCCTTTCTCTGGAACTCGTACTTCGTGAACGCCTCTACCAACAACCTCCGCCGGCAGCGCTCGCACTGGTCTCGTGGCATTAGTTCCTCTTCCCACTCATCCCACTCCACTCTCTCCCCGCGAAGCACCTGCAACAACTTCTTTGCGCCTGGCATCTCCCCCGCGCTGTGCGGCTTCCTATCGAAAGGCCTGAACATCAGCAAGTCCTCCCGCCTCCGCACGCGCGTGATGGCAACGTAACTTGCCATCCAACTCACGCCGCGCCCTCTTTCAAGGTCTGCTATCACTGCAGCCATGGTCCGGCCCTGCGCAGAGTGCGCCGTCACTGCCAAAGCCGAGGTGATCATAAACTGCGTGCGCTTCACACTCAATACTGGATGCTTTCGATATCCATCCAAGAACCATTTCCGCCCTTTCGATGGGAAGATCGGATGCAGCCCCGGCCCCCGCCCTGGCAGGTGCCACTCTTTCGTATGGAAGTCCGACACAATCACTCTCGGCAGATGCATCAATACTTCCTCGTCGCCGTCTCGAACGACCTCATCCTCGTGCAACGCCCATCCATGGATCGTCGCCGTGCACCCCCGCAGAAGCTGCTTCTTTGACCGATCCAAGTGATCTGGTAATCGTTGCTGGCCGCGGCTGCCAGCTCTGCTCCGCTGCGGGGAAATGCCGCCAACTCGATGCGCCAATATCGCAATAACTCATACAACGATAAGTGTGCCAAGTCGGGCGCACCAGGAGCGCCAACCGGGCGCATGCCATACAAGTACACTGGACTCTTAGACACACTTCGAACCTTGTTCGGCCCTTCTCGTTTGTCTGCTTCCAGAATCCCCGACGCTGCTACGGTAACGCCGTCCCCGTCAGCACAGAGCCGTTCCGCCATGCGCACGGCTTCTGCTCCTGGGATCATGGCTGTCTTCGCAGTCTTGATACTCTCGGCACCAGTCACGTCTCTGGGGTCTCGGTATGCGCGCAGATTCGCACTTTCCTGCGCTGACCGCACCACACCTCTCCCGTACATGTCACTGAGAAACCTCTTCATGTGCCTGTTCGCTCGGTACGCCGCGGTCCTGTCTTTCGTCTGCTCTGCCAGCGCGTGGTGGCCCTTTTTGATCTCCCTCACCTCGTTGAACGACGGGGCACACCGCTTGCACTGATAGTCCGCCGCATACCCCGCTGCTGCATTCTGCGCTCGCTGCGCTGCGAGAACCATGTCTATGGGTCGATCCGTCTCCCAGCACCGCTCTTCGCACACACAACTATCATGCGTCGCTTCCGTCACTGGGAACCTGTACGGGATCTGCAAGTCGCTGTTGAAATTCAATCCTACCGCGCCGCTTAGCATCGCTGGTAGCGTGCCGTTCAGGTTCTCGTCGTTCATGGGCCCGTGCAAGCACCCTGTCATGTTCCTCCTCCCTGCTCGCGGCATGTCACGGTTCTTGAAAAAGCCTTGGCACAACACCACTGCGCGATCTATGAGCCACGTCGTGCGCGGGAAAAAGCTTTTGCACTGCGTCATGTCGTCTTTCCTCTGACAATGTGCCAACGGTACCACGCGCTGCAAACGCTTGCTCCACTGGTGCACGTGGTTCTGTCGAAACTCCTGCCCCTTTTGCACCCAGACGCCGAGGTACTCTTGCAGCCAGGTTCGCCCTTCCTCGTTGCCCTTGTCTCCCTCTTCGGTTGTCCCACTCCGGCTCGCTGATTCCCTCCCGCCGACTTCCGTTTCTTCCAACCCATTCGTCTGGCCGCTGTGTAAGTACCCC